ACAATGTCCCATTAATTTTTCTGGCTTTTTAATTATGGGACAAGAGCCATTAAAATTCATCCAAACTAATCAATATGTTTCCAGTATTCAGAAAACAATGTAATATAATACATCATTTGATAGAGGAAAACCTTGGTTTTCTATTTGTTATAAATTATATATTATTAAATATAAGAGAGAACTATTAACAACTCCTGAAAGAGAGGATGTGACAGGTGGGTGTGGTAAGAAGGGCCTGATTTTCTATTTGATGGCTCTGAAACCAAATAGGATTGAAAGCTATAAAATTATGGTTTTGTCTGAGTAATGACAATTTTATAGTGAGTAATTTACATTACATTTTGTACTTATTGGAGGGGTAGTAAATAAATTAGAGAAGAGGGGATGCCTATAGAAAAAATGTCACATTTCTCACACTAGGGAAAATATGGATCTTTCTTTTTAATATTGCCTTATAAAGAATTTAAAACTTGTACACTATTAAAATATGGATTATTAGCTATGATTTTATACTATACTAATTGGTATAACATAAGCAAAAAGTAGTTTAATCAAATTTTGAATGCAAGTCACTAAAACCTTGTGACTTGCGCAGTAAAGAATGCCCGTGCAGAGAGGGTTAAGTCTATAGAAAGAGGTTGTAATTCACACTTGTATTACAGTAAGTCAACAGAAATAAGGAAATTTGTTATTGTTAAAACATTTTGGTTACATACATGCTTTGAATCTTGACTCTCATTAGTGTAGTGCCTGAAGTTGCCATATTTTCATTTTTCTTTCAGCTTAGAATGATAAACTGTATAGTTTCTCAAATGTTTGTCTAGACACACTTTTAAAACACTTCTAGACTGGTACACAGGAAACTGCCTTGTGCAGTACTGACCTTATTTCAGTTCCACAGTGTCAGGTGTCTCCCCCTCCCTAGGGATTTTTAGATGATGCTCACAGTTTTGCTGGGGATCTGTTTCTAATTCTCTAGTGACATTGCCATGTTTAAGCTTAGAAATACTTGGAGGTTAAAGTTTCCATACTTTCACTTGGACAACCAATCATGTTGGCAGTGCTTGAAGACATTATAGTTTGTTTTGTATAATGTCATACTTTCTCAGTCTAGAACAGAATCTAGTACACTCATAAGTTATTTTTAACTTGTTAGTGAAAGTTAAGAGTAGTTTTTCTTTGTTCAGACTTTTCTATAACCATGTGAATTAAAATTGTGAACTTTAAGTCCGTAAATCCTTTCCTGTTTGAACCTCTAGTTATTAGTGAGGTTACTCTTATCTGTTGAAAAAAACAGTGAATCTGAAAATACTATACTTGTTCTGCAGTTTATTCTTCTTTTGTTTAATTATTCTGTTATGACATTATGGACCACAAGGGACCATTTGGTCCTTTAAGATTAACTATACAAACCTTTATCCCAAAAAAATGTAATTAATCCACCCTTTATTTGTAAGGAATAATTTATTCCTCTCTTAGTCTTGTAAAGTGCCAATCGCCACTACTATCAGTAGAAACTCATCCCATAATCTTATCACTCTGTTAGAAAAATAAGACTTAACTAGAGCTTAGCCTGTCTTTCTGAATTCTTAAACTTGTCATCTCAACCTTTTATCCTAACAGTTTAGTGATCATTTCCAAACTTATGATTATCATAACAACAATTTGACCATTTAACAACTATAGAAAATACCAAAAAAAAGAAATTAACCAAGACACTGGTCTGTTGCTTCATCTTTGGTCATGCAAGATGTAGACCAGTTGTCTTGTCTGGTCTAACATTAATAATTGTTTTCCCGTTAAACTATGTAAGTGAAATTAAAGCTTTGTTTTCTAATGATATCACTTATTTGTAGTGTTTGCTAAACTGGTTTGGCTTCAAGTCATAACTTTCTACATCGCTAACTTAGGAGAAGGGTTCTTTTCAAGTTTATACTTTCTGTGTATTCTTAAAACTATTGAATGTACTGTCTTTTAAAGTTACTTGAGCTTACCAACTAGTTGAAATTATTTTTACTGGTGTGTGTGTGTGTCATTTCCTCGTTATAAACTTGTTATGACAAGGTTTAAACAAACAAATCCTTATTTCCTTTGTTTCATTTGAAAATGTTGGATTGAAGTTTGCATTGTTGAATGTTATCAAAACTGTTTCTTCTGTGAGGAAATTCAACTAATTTAGCTAGTTTCTGCAGTGAAAAGTTCGCTGGGATTAATTGTTGTTCATTGTCAGTTGAGATCTGAGATATACTTTTGTTTACTCTTAAGTACATGTAGTAATGATAAAAAATTCTTAAAAAGTATACTCCACTCAGAAAAATAACAACAAACAAAAACAGGTGGTGCTTTGGGTGTATATTTCTTTAATTTATACAGCCACAGAAAAACTGGTACGATTAGAGCCATTGTAAATTATTTTTATAATTAAGCCAGACACAACCTACCCCAAGAAAAAATTGAGAGTCAAGTATGAAAGCATTTTGTCTGATTCAAGCAGCAGCCAACAAAGAAGTTTGAGCCACATTTGATTACAAAATGATCTTTACAGAGTTTCAAAAGTTTTCCACTTATAACACAGAACTAAAATAAACAATGCCAGTCTGTACATGATCTTCATCCTGCTGAAGACATATATTCAAAGTATAGCTACTTTCACTGTTGAAAGATATTATATAAAATCACCAAACCCACAATTAGCAGTGAACGGTAGTAGGGTTCAGGGAGGTTGTGAACCTGATCCCCACCCCCACCCCCACAATTTTCGATTTTTTGTTGTTAGCTGCCTTGTCTACTCATCGGGGTTATAGATTGTATCTGATAACTGGAACAACACAACACCTTTTGTGTGTCATCACCACAGATGTTTTCCTCCAACATTGAATCTTGTGCATGCTTACTGAAAATTATACAACTCTGACCTTTTTTCACTGTTCCCTAGTTACTACTAGAGAGAATTCTATTTGAATTTTCTTTACTGTTGGTCTAGTATAGAAAAGAATCATACATAATACTTAACAAAATAATAAAATGATGTAGTAAAATTATGTATTACTTACAGATATTATAAAGATTAACAACTTTTTAAGCACAAATTAAGTGAGAAAAAAAAACTCAAATTTACAAAAATATAAAGTTAATCACCCAACTAGTTTCAATGTACCATGTGCATCATTATAAGGGCATACAGTGTGAGAACAGTGGCATCTAACAAGTATTGTTTTCTCTGCCTGATTTCTTCATGCTTGTTCAGTTGAAGAATATTTTCTATAATAGTTTCATTTGAATCAGACTCATAAATAGTGATATGGGTTTTCAATTGAATCCATTATGGAAAACATTCTATATATATATATATATATTTGTGTTCAAAATATTTGTTTATTTTTTAAGTTTTATTATTTAAAGCTTATAATGTCTAAAATAATTTTTTTGTTTACACTTGCAAAGATTATTTTGCACTGTTGGCTTCATGCATGAATGTAGGACTTACTCAGATTTCTTGTGTTGGCTAAGCCCTGTGAGTTATTAGATTTACAGCTAAAGCTAAGAAATATTGTTAACAATGCATGTACCAAAGTAATAGATCATTGCATTCTAATAATTACTGGTTTTAGTTTCTTGTGCATTGATTTAAATACTTGAAATATTTTATTATTATAATCATTACTGTACTTGCCAGGGCTAAAAGTTATAGTATTCATGCTATAACTTATAAATTAGTAAGCAAATAATGGCTGGAGACGGCTTGAATGGGTAATGAAGAAAAACTTTTGTCAAAAAGTTGTACGTTTGCTGTTATGTTAAA